GGGGTCCCGGGCGGGGGCGCTCGGCGCTGTGGCTGCGTTTCCTAGAGCAGGTTCTGAGCAAACCCTGACCTCAGGGGTCCGCAGTTACCTTAAATAATAGAGTCAAACCGCCTCGTATTTGGGACGGGCTGATTCTTACGGCCTTCGTTTCTCAGCCTTCCGGACGGCTCGGAATGCAGGCCTGCCTACCACGTCTGGCTAAACCACCTTATACTTACTGTTTTTTTATATGTTGAATATATCAAATAAATTGACTCCCAACTCTTTAAAAAAAGGAAGCGACCCGTAAGCACACGCCTGCAACATCAGGTAACTCAGCCCTTCCTGGGGCGCATACAGGTACTTCTTTACCTAGAGAGTACAAGCAACCCTTTTTAGGGGAGAGGGGGTCTTTTGGAGGCAGGGTCTCACTGCGCACTTCAGGCTGTCCTTGAGCTCACTTTGTAGCTCAGGCTGGTCTCGAACTCGCAAGGATTCTCCTGCCTCAGCCTCCCGAAGGCTGGGATTGCAGGCATGCGCCGCCATGCCCAGCTCAGTCCACCCATTCAAAATGTGTAATTCGGTAATTTTTAGTGTATTCGCAGGGCTTTGCAATCATCGCAGTCAGTTTTGAATGGTTTTCATTACACCAGGAAGAAACCCACGGACTTCTGGGGATGAAAAGGTTCTGGAAATGGGTAGCGGGGATGGTTGCCCACCCTTGGGAGTGAACTTAGTGTCACTTAATTGTACACCTAAAAGTGGTTCGGGCCCTGGGGATGTAGCTCAGTGCAAGAGGTCTTGCCTTGCAAATGTGGCCCTGGGTTCAGTCTGCAGAGTCAGAAAGCAAAATAATACCTCTGCTGAGTGTGGTGGCACACACATATAATCCTAGCACTCAGGAGGCAGAGTCAGGAGAAGCGCTGTGAGCTCGAGGCCAACCTGGGATACATAGTTCAGGGCCAGCCTGAACTGCACAGTGAGACCTTGTCTCAAAAAGACGAAAAGCTAACAAACAAAACAATAACGACATGAACAATAAAAAAAGGTTGAAATGGCTGGGTGCCCCAGTGGTATAGCCCTGTAATCCCAGCTCCACAGGAAGCCCAGGGAGAGGACTACTGGCGTGGGCAGTTAGTGAGAGGGTCTCGAGACACAGTGAAGGCGGGGAGGCAGGCCAGCGGTGGAGCACTTGTCTGGCATGCTCAAGGCCCTGGTTCAACCTCCGGTGCCAGAAGGAACAAAAAGCCCCTCCCCGCAAAAACCGGGTTTAAATCAAATGACTCCCTTCAGATGACCCCCTGAAGTCAGGGACCCTTAGGAAGATAAGAAACAAAGAGGGCAGTTCCTCCAGCACAGCTCACTGTCGGGTGAATCTGGTACGAGAGCTTGGTGTGGTCTTTACGGGGAAGCTGGGCTGGAATATGGGCCTTGTCAGGGAGCTCTGAGCGGCTGTCCGTGCCCTGCTTCCTGGGCGGAGTCCAAAGCGTGCTGCTGTGTGCTGGGCTGAGGAGCGTGAAGTGCTAGTTGCCAGGAGCTTTTCCCTGAGCTGGGGTTCTGGGAAGCCTGGCTCCTCCTGGCGACGTGAGGGGCCCTGGAGGAGGAAGACACTTCCCCCAACTTCCTACTTGGCCTGTGGGCGCCTTGCCCCCTGTGTCCCAGTCCCTTGTTTCCGTGATCGTGGAGGCAAGGTGCCAGCAGTGTGCCAAGCCTCTTGCTGTCTGCCAGAGACCCGCCCGCGCGTTTTGTGGTGGAAAGTCCACATCCTTGGTGTTCCGTCTGCAAAGCTGAAGGTAGCGGGTACGGCGCGCGCGTTTCATGCCTACACTCTTACAGTGACCTGCGCGCTCTGGTTCTTTCAGTCGCAGTTGCCAATACCTACGCCTGTAAAGGGCTGGACCGGATCGAGGAGAGACTGCCGATCTTGACTCAGCCGGCAGCCCAGGTGAGCTTGGACCGAGTGCCGCGTGTGCTGCCTCACGGGTGTTCGTGCTCTGCCTGTAGCAGCACGGGCTGAGCGCACCGCAGATTTGCCGATGTTTGTTCCCTTAACCTGGACCTGCATCTTTTTAAAAATTCTTTTTGGCGGTGGTACTGGGGATTAAACTCAGGGACTTGCAAACACTAGGCGGGTGTTCTACCACTGAGCTCCATCCCCAGACCTGGGTTTAGGTTCTGTTTTGTTTTTGTCTCTTTGAGATAGGGTCTCCCTAGGCAGTGCAGGCTGGTCTTGAACTCACTTTGTAGCCCAGGCTGGCCTCAGACTCGAAACGATCCTCCTGCCTCAGCCTCCTGAATGCTGGGATTGCCCTGGGTTTAACTTTAAAGAATGATGGCCACTGCCTTCCTGTGCTGGTGTCAGGCTGTAGCCAAGGGGAAAAGAACCGGTCACCTTTGGCCAGAATACGTAGGGTCTGTTCTCTTTGTGGCTTTGCCTCTGCTGTGCAAGCAGTACAGTGGGTATGTCAGATAAACGGTTACCGTGCAGTGTTGGGTACATGGAAGGTTTCTCGCTTGGCTTCATGGGGTCACCATGCATTAGGGACAGTTAGCCAGTGTTGACAAAAAAGCTAGCCTCATCCGCCCCCATGATCTTTTTATTCAGGTAATGTCTCAAAATTTTCGTTTTGGTTAAGAATACAGTAGGGAACCAGGCAGGAGGCTGAGGCAGGAGGATCCCATAGCAGGTTAAAGGCTAACCTGTGTGTGAGGCTCTGCCTTCAACAGCAGCAGCAGAAGCATACAGCGTGGTCCAGAATTACATCATTTGAGGAAATTTCTGGCTCTTGTCTTTCGTGATTTAAACAGATGAAGCTTGGGGTACAAGCTTTAGAATGATTGTGTGTATTGCTTTCAAATTTTCACATACATTGCTTCAGACTGTTCTCTTTTTTTTTTTTTTTTTTTTGATCTTTTGAGGCAGGGTCTCACTATACATTTCCAGCTGGTCTTGAACTCTAGCCCATGCTAATCTCAAACTCACAAGGATCCTCCAGCCTCAGCCTTCTGAGTACTGGGATTATAGGCGTGCCTCACCTACCATGTCTGGCTGAGACTATTCTAATTTTGTTTTTTGAGACAGGGTCTCACTTTGCAGTTCAAGCTGGCCTTGGGCTCACTTTGTAGCTCAGGCTGGTCTTGAACTTGCAACAACCTTCTTGCCTCAGCCTCCCAAGTGCTGGGATTACAGGCGTGTGCCACCACGCCTGGCTTTTTTTTTTGGGACGGGAGCCGAACTCAGGACCTTGCACTTGCCAGGCAGGCGCTTATGTGACTGAGCTATATCCCCAGCTCCCTTAGTTAAAATTAAACAAAATGTTAGATGGGGTTTGCCTTATAAATACTTTCTCCTGAGGTAGGAACAAGTCACTTAAAAGATTTCTTGCCAGTGTTCTGTGTGCTGTCCTGCTACCAAGTCTGGACAAGTCTGCTAAGTGACAGATATCTCAGACTACTTCCAGCAAGATGGAGGACTGGCCTTCAGGCTGTGGTCGTGCATGTCTGTAATCCCAGCACTCGGGAGGCTGAGGCAGGAGGGTGGAGCTCTGTGTGTTTGAGGCCAGCCTGGCTACCTGGCAAGACCCTGTGTGATTAGAAAGGAACAAGAAGGTGGAGCGCTGGCGGCTCCTGTGTGCTGGCCTCCTGGGGTGGTTTTGTCCTTAAAGCCAAGGTGGGGTGCTGGGCGTTCTGGGGGTGCTGGGTGCGCACGCTGTGCTCTTCGGCAGGCGTGGGCTGCTCGCAGTGTCGGCATGTCCACGTGAAGGTGCCGTCACTCTCTGGATCACAGCAGCTTTGCCTGCGGCTGAGCCAGCCAGATGTGCCCCGTCTCGTCTGGAATAACCAGTTTACCGCGACAGATCTCTCATCAGCTGCCTCACTGACCTCCAGCGATCTGCAGGGGTGGCGCCGGTTGGGCAAAGAGGCCTGGCGAGGAAATCCGGGCTCTCCGGGCGTCAGTGACACGCCGAGACCTGACGTTAGCGTGGAGGGCCAGATGCTGTGTCTCGGGGCTCGGCGACAGTCCCTCCCCAAGACCGGAGGAGTCTGTGCCCGCGTTTCCCCTGAGCTCCTCTGCTCCCGCTTGCAGGTTGTCGCCAGCGCCAAGGGTGCCGTGACCGGGGCGCGAGATGCTGTGACAAAGGCTGTGGCCGGGGCCAAGGACTCGGTGGCCGGCACGATCACAGGGGTGGTGGACAGGACCAAGGGCGCAGTGAGCGTCGGCGTGGAGAAGACCAAGTCCGCGGTGAGCGGCGGCGTTACCACGGTTCTGGGGAGTCGCATGGTGCAGCTCGTGAGCAGCGGAGTGGAAGACGCACTTAGCAGATCGGAGCTGCTGGTGGACCTGTACTTTCCCCTCACGGAGGAAGAGCTAGGTAACCGAATTTTATGTCTGAAGTGGTCTCTAAGAGGAGAGGGCTTCATTTAGAGACTTTGTATGCCCCAAAACACGCAGCTGTTTTCGGGCTAAATCTTCCGAATTGTACAGCTCTTACCACAGTTGTTTCAGACCGCTCTTCTTCCCCCAGATTACCCTTCGTCAGCTTTCAGTTCGTCCTCGCGCCCTTTCCCAAGCCGGTACTGATACGCGCCCGCCAGCGTGAACCACTGGCGGCCCACGCACGCCTGTCGCGGGACGGCCGGTCCCACCCCTGGGACCGTCACACCGTCCGAGGGGACAGTTGCGTGTGGGCCGCCGGTGGTTCAGAGGCGGTGAGACATACAAATTACAACCCCGCTGTAGATGTGTTAATCTTTTTGTCTTCTGTACATTTCCCTTGTTAAAGCAATCTGACGTTGGTTCTTGAATTGTACATGGTAAGTTGGTTTTTTCTGAGACAAGGTCTCCCCATGCAGTTCAGGCTGGCCTTGAGTTCACTTATGTAGCCCAGGCTGGTCTCAAACTTGCATTGATCCTCCTGCCTCAGCCTCCTCAGTGCTGGGATTATAGGCATGTGCCACCACACCTGGCAAGTTTTGCAACTTCAAGAGAAATTAGACTCGAAAATATTTTAGGTAAATAGATTCTTTTTCACAAGCTGTCTTTCAGTCATCATGGAAAAGAATCCTCACTGACGTAGGCAGCTTGGTTTCCACAGCGAGCGGGGCCGCGGCGCTCGAGCTCACTCTGGTGTGTAGGGCCGTGCGCTGTGTGAGGCCTGTGACGTGCTGAGTGAGGACAGGCAGGCCCGCAAGCAGCCTGGAGCAGTTTTAAGAAAATCAGAGTGTGTTTGCTAGGTGGTGGGCAGAACCAACAAAGTGAAGACCCGGGTTAGAGCTCAGGCCTTACACTCACAGCACTGATCCTTAAATTTTTTGTCCCTTACTTTCTAACTTCAGAAAAAGAAGCAAAAAAAGTAGAAGGATTTGAAGAGGTTGAGAAGCCAAGTTATTACGTTAGACTGGGGTCCCTGTCCTGCAAGCTCCGTGCCCGGGCCTACCAGCAGGCGCTCAGCAGGGTTGAAGACGCCAAGCAGAAAAGCCAGGAGACCATTTCTCAGCTCCGTTCTACTGTCCAGCTGGTGAGTAAAGCTGCCTTCCGTGTGCTTGAGGGAAGTCTTTCTATCTCAGGAAAGGAGAGTAAATGGAATCATGAAAGCCAAGGATTTTTTTTTTTTCTGTTCAGTCTTTTTGAGACAAGGTCTCGCTGTGCAGTTCAGGCTGGCCTTGAACTCACTTTGTAGCCCAGGCTGGCCTAGAATTCGGCAGTGATCCTCCTCCCTCAGCCTCGTGAGTGCTGGGATTACAGGGATGCACTACCATGCCCAGCAAAGAATTTTGATTTTATAAGCACTGTAATAGAAAAAAAAGGGGCAAAGAACGTAGGGACAGCTCACAGCAGAGGAAGGGAATAGGAAGCTCTGCTGGTGTTACTGCTCTAAGGTGGCCAGGTACCTCCCTTGACTGTGATACCAAACTTGACGCTGTCGGTAGTGATGGAGAGAAACAGCAGTACTTGTGCACCTCTGGAGGGTTACGAATGGGACCATCCTAGAAACGTTATGAGCACACCTGTGCCTGGAACAGCTGTAATTGTAGGGCTGTCTCCTACAGGTAAATCCTCTGTGTGTTTAGCGTTCAAGAGACTGTAACAGTACGATCACAGTGGACTATTGTGTAGCAGTGGAAGATTGCTAAATCATAGAATATCATGTACCGGCTCACTGAGAAAACCATTCTTGGAAGAGGAAGTAGTAGCTGGAACAGGAAAAACAAGGAAGGTTGAATTCCTCCCGTTTCTTAGAATTCTCACTTTTCCTTGACACATGTACAGATTGTTCCCTTGTCTTACCTGTGGTAAACCGGAGGTAAATTTTGAGTTAGTGGTTAAATTGGTTAACAGTTAAATGAGCAGTAAAGAGCTACGGCAGCTGTGTGTGGTGGCGCACACCCGAAATCTAGGCACTAGGGAGGCTGAGGCAGGAGGATCACTGCGAGTTTGAGGCCAACCTGGGCTACAAAGTTGACTGCAAGACCAGCCTAAACTGCATGGTAAAACCTTATCTCAAAAAGACAAAAAAGAAAGAGCTACTACAGTGTGGTTGATTTACACATACTGATAATAAATAACAACAAAGCCAGATGTGGTGGCACACGCCTGTAATCCCAGCACATACTTGGGAGGCTGAGGCAGGAGGGTTGTTGCAAGTTCAAGACCAGCCTGGGCTACAAAGTGAGCTCAAGGCCAGCCTGAACTGCATAGCAAGACCCTGCCTCAAACAAACAAAAAGAGAACCAATGCAAGCAGGGATAGTTCTGATTAAAGTCTTACAGAAATTCTTGGGGTTTATCGTATTTCTTCCTTTCCTCCTGCCTGCCCTCTCTCCTTCCTTATTTTCCTCTCTCTTTTGTTTTTTTTTTTTGTACCAGGAATCGAGCTCAGAACCTTGGCGCTTGCCAGGCAGGTGCTTGTGCCGCTGAGCTACATCCCCGTCCCTCTCCCTTTGTTTGTTTTTCTTTTTCTCTTCTGTGGTATTGGGGCTTACACCTGGGGCCTTGCATGTGCTGGGCACGTGCTCTGCCGCTTAGCTGCATCTGCCCTGATTCCCGGTTTTTGTGTTTCCTCATCTAGCCTGTAACAGGCTGACGTGAATGTCTGACTGATACGCGCTCTCGTCTGTCTTCCTTGTGTTCTAGATTGAATATGCCAGGAAGAACGTGCATAATGCCCACCAGAAAGTTCAGGACGCGCAGGAGAAGCTGCACCTGTCCTGGGTGGAGTGGAAGCGGAGCCTTGGCCGTGATGACACTGACGAGTCCCACTGTGCTGAGGTGCGGAGGTGGGACGCTCCGTCCCCACACTCCCCAAGGCGCTCCTGTCCGACCTCCGTTTCAGTCTTCCCTTAATTGCTCTGAGTTTCTTTCGAGCTTGAACAATAAGTCGCTATTACATGGCAGAAAAGCAAAACTAGGGAGACAGTGACTGCCTGACAACCTCCGGGTGCGGGCTGCGGGGTACAGCGCCTGACGGGCGAGGACGGGCCCCGCGAGAGCGCGCAGGACGCCCGCGCAGCCCTGGAGCGCGGGTGGGGGGTCAGGCGGCTTCTGGAAGAGGTGAGAGTGCAGCTGTGAGAACAGTGAGTGCGTCAGGTGAAAGGGCAGTAAAGGCCGAAGCTGGTGCACTTTAGATCTACTCCACGATGGCTTCGTCCGAAGGAATTCATACTCATTTTCTTTTGACTCCGGTATCACCTGCGTTCAGATCCTGCCATCTTGCCGGAGGGTGGAAATCTATCTGCGCTGCTAGCCTGGAGTGTGCTTTCACTCTGCCCGGTGTCTCCTGCCTGTTGCTTTCCTTCAGGCGTACAGCGATGAGCTTTGGAGACTCAGGCGTTACTTCCCACCCCCACTCAGCGGTTTTCCAGCTGTAACTAGGCAAGGTGTTCAGACTGAGCTTACGTTCATAGCTGAGAAGTATGACTAGTACTTCAGCTCTCAGTGTTGTTAGGAGAGGCTTAAACAGTCGATTCCACCTATGCAGTGGATGTGATCGGCTTACCGTGGTTGAGGTAATTCGTACATCAGCCTGGTGGAGTCCCTGCTGATTCTTTTTTGTTGTTGTTTTTTCCGGTACCAGGGATTGAACTCACGACCTTGTGCCTGCCAGGCGGGCTCTGTGCCGCTGAGCTAAATCCCCAGCCCCTGCTAATTCTCAAGTTTCCTATTTTTAGCACTTGGAGTCCCGGACGCTTGTCACTGCCCGCAGCCTGACTCAGCAGCTGCAGACCGCGTGCCACGCCCTGCTGTGCAGTGTGCAGGGCTTGCCGCAGGACATCCAGGACCAGGCCCGCCACCTGGGGGTGATGGCTGGTGACATCTGCTCCGCATTCCGCGGGGCCACCTCCTTCGCGGAAGTGTCTGAGACCCTCTTGATCTCTAGCAGAGGGCAGCTGCAGAGGATGAAGGAGTCTTTAGACGACGTGATGGATTATCTTGTTAACAACACGCCCCTCAACTGGCTGGTAGGTCCCTTTTACCCCCAGATGACTGAGTCTCAGAACGCTCAGAAGCGGGGTGCAGAGCTAGACGGGACCAGCCAGCAGTCCGAGCACAGAGCCTGGTAACCCAGTGCTCGGTGCAGCTAGCCAGGCACACCCTTGTTACGTGGAAATTGACCTGATCGCTGACGCCCGGTTGGGAAAGCAGGCAGCTAGGAAAGAGGCCTTGGGCTCTTGGAATACGAGTTCACCGTTTCGGGCATTAGCAGATAGATTGTTTATCACACGGTAGGAAAAGCACGTTAGCCTTGTCAGAGCCTGGCCGCAGCTCGGCTCAGATGCATGAGTGGTCTCGTGTTGTGGTCATCGTGCTGCTGCTGTGTCTGTTTAAATAAAAGTCCCTTCGCGTGGGCCCTGGAAACCGGTGATTGCTCTGGAGTAGTCTGAGCGGTCCCTCGTGGCTTACCTAATGATTCGTGCCTGTACAACTTGATTTTTTTAGTTTTTTAGTCCTTATAAAGGAACACTGCCTTTGAAATCAATAAAATGGCAAGTAGA